GCAGGGAGAGAGAGAGAGAGAGAGAGAGAGAGAGAGAGAGAGAGAGAGAGAGAGAGAGAGAAGGCAGGGGGAGAGAGGGGAGAGAGAGGGCAGGGAGGAAAATAGAGGGCAGGAGGAGAGAGAGAGGGCAGGGGTGGGGGAGCGAAAGAGACCCCAACAACACTGACCTAAGAATAGCCCATGACACCATACAGAAATAATACAAACAAACCCTTAAAAGAAAAAACAAAACTTCATTGCCAACAACCTGCAACAGTTAGACGAGGCACTTCAGGAAAAACTCTTTCTGGAAAATATGGAAAAATATTGGCTTAGCAACCAGGAAAAATAACTTCCACATCCAAAAAGGCGACATCTGGCTCAACCACTTTAAGAACCTCTACAAAGAGAGATTCCAGAAGAGGTGCTAACTGTGGAACAAAAATACATCATCAGTAGATTAAATGATATGGAGGAAAAAATCAAGACCTTCCAAAACCCCCTAGATGTGCCGATTACACTAGAAGAAATAATGGAGAGAATTCAACACCCGCAAACTAAAAAAGCCAGTGGAATGAATGGAATCCTGCCAGAGATGATTAAACCTGGCTCCCCAGATGTACATGCAGCAACATGTAAAGTGTTAAATCTGGTCCTGAGCGTTGGTTACTACCCTCAAGTATGGAACCAAGGCCCCATAACATCCATCCATAGGAGTGGAGACCAGTATGATCCAGCAAACTACAGAGGAATATGTGTCAGCAGCACACTGGGGAAACTATTCAACAGTATCCTCAACAAAGGATCCTCAACTTCCTGACACAACACAATGTCTTCAGTAGAAGTCAGGTGGGGTTCATGCCAAACCATCCCACTACAGACCACATCTACACCCTGCACAGTCTCATCAAGAACCGTGTCCACAATACAAAACATGGAAAGATATTTCACCTGTTTTGTAGCTTTGCAGCTCTAGGATCCCCCCTAGCACCTGGACTGACCCTACATGATGCCAAGCTGAAGTTCCTGTTGTATGCGGATGACCTCCTACTACTGTCACCAAGAGAGAAAGGCCTACAAGACAGCTTGGAAGTGCTGGAGAAACACAGTGCCACATGCGCACTACCTATCAATTCAAAGAAAACAAGATTCATGGTGTTCCAAAAGGAAGAACACAAAATAATTTACTGCACTCTTGATGAATCCCACAGCTACATATACCTTGGCCTGGAAATGAACCAATCAGGAAAGTTTCTATGCCATCAGGGGACAGCTGTACCACCTTACAAAATGGTAAGAGTCTAGCTTAGAATTTTTGATAGCGTCATCACCCCAATCCTTCTTTATGGCAGTGAAGTTTGGGGTTCTGTCACCTACCCAGACCAATCCAAATGGGACTCCAGCTCGCCATAAATATTTCATCTGGAATTCTGCAAGAACCTCCTCCAAGTTCATCAGAGAACTTCCAACAGTGCTTGCCGGTCTGAGTTGGGAAGTTGTCCATTACTCCTCGTAGTACAGAAGAGGGCGCTATGATACCTGAGCAGACCCGTAGGGCTTCTTATGGATGGGAGGGGGGACCCCACGTCGTTTTTTAGATGCGGTAGGATACGGTTCAGTAAATTGCTTGTGTTCAAAGTTCACGGTCGAACATTCTGTAGGTTCTGCTATTCATGTGTTCAGCAAACTCTCCCCACAATGCACTGCATCCTCACAGTGCATTGTGATTGGCCAAAGCAATGCACCTGACCTGGCCAATCACAGCACAAAAAACAAAAAAAGCTCCACTCTCAATCTGGCTCTTGCCGTCTGACAGCTGCGCTGGCCTGACCGTTCTTAAATATCTAAGTGGCGGGGCCACCCAGTGATGTCAACTGGGTGATCCCGCCACTTTGATATTTATGAACTGTCAGGCCAGCGCAGCTGTGAGACGGCAAGAGCCAGCGTTGAGAGCGGAGCTTTTCTTGTTTTTTTTTTCAGGTCGGCAGTGGCGGCGGGCATCATGATTGACATTGGATCTACTTCAGGGGACTTTTATTTACTTTAATAAGGTTTTTAATAAAGGACTTGTCAAAGACTGTCTTCTGTCCATTTTTTACACTACTTTTATTTTTGTGAATGAGTAGTGGTACCATGTACCCCATACTCATTTCCATGGGGGGGGGGGGGGCAGGATCTGGTGGCTGCCTTTAACCTCCCTAGCGGTCTGATCAGGGGTGGACTGACCATTTGGAAACTCGGGCACTGTCCGAGGGCCCGGGGGCATAGGGGGTTCCATGAGATGCCCCTGGTACCTTTTTCATAGGCTTTTTTTGAGAGTTTGGGCAAGGACACAGGGGCCCCATGATCCCTATTGCCCGGGGGCCCCATGAGTTGTCAGTCCGCCCCTGAGTCTGATTATGTCAGTATTTCTGTGCTCAAAGCGGTACATTTTTTTTGCATGGAAATATGTCATTTTTAATTGTAGGCCTGTAATTTTTAGGAATAACTCACTGAAATCTGTCCAAACAAGAGTCTAGTAAACATCCCGGGTATGTTAAAATTTGAAACACGAAATCATAAATTATAATATAATAAATAATCATAAAAAATAATAATAAATGTAATTCAATAATATAATCAAACCAAAAACACTAATATTTGAAATATAGCGCCAAGTTTGCACATTACTGAGCAAAGTCGCAGAATCGTTTTCAGTGTCTGATGAGGAATTTCCCCCACGAATCATTATCACTCAATTCTGCAAGTGGTTCTAATTTACTATCGCTGTTCTCTAGCCGGTCTAAAACCGCTTTTGACCTAAAGGGACACTTTTTGGACGCCATGGACGTTTCTCAGTAAAAATGCAGGCAGGGCGCAGGACAAAGCACTCGGGACAACATGTATGTGAAATGCTTTGCCTTCCTCTGGATCAACTGTGGGTAAAGGATTATAACTTTTTTTTTAATGGTTGAACCGGATGGACTTTTGTCTTTTTTTCAGCCAGACTATGTAATTGTGGAGACTTTCACCCCCATATTATTTATGATATATTTAGTAATATATTAAGCACTTTATAGATTGATTATATTTAGAGGTCTATGTTTGCGCTGTTTTATTTATAATTGTCACATTTTGTGTGTTTTTATCACATTGCACAGCAGCAGGGTAGATCCTGTAGTAGTTTCTTTGGCGCTCAGCTTAGTTAATTGTGGAACTGCATTGAAACCATCAAGGGGAATATGGAGTAATCAATTAGTCCATTCACAATTTCTCAGCTTATGCATTGAGCAAAGAGCATAATTAGGTAGAATGCATCAAACCATTTGTGCGCGAAGTTGGGAAGATGAAGTTTTATGTCAACACATATGCCATCTCCACTCTTTCAGGCCACCAGAGAATTGGTTAAAAAATATCAACGCAAGGGCAAATAAGGTATGAATTGGGGGAGGGGGGTTAAGAACAAGGGAAAAACATGCATATATATATGAATACGGGTCATGCATGTATAGAAGAATATATATATATATATATACAATTCACACCACAGAAGAGTAGCATGTGTTCTGAACAGAGGTTGCTGCACTGGAAGGACAACTCTAGAGTGAGTAGACATGACTAAATACTTATAGAGATGTAAGCTGTATCATTCTACATTATATGTGATCCAAACAAACTATTTAAAGTCATAGGGGGTGATTTACTAAAACCAGAGAGTGCAAAATCTGGTGCAGCTCCAATCAGCTTTTGTCAAATCTCAACTCAACAAGCTGCAGTTAGAAGCTGATTGGCTCCCATGCACGGTTGCACCAGAAGATTTTGCACTCTCCAGTTTTGGTAAATTAACCCCATAGTAATCCAGGAATTCTTTATTTCAGGTACTTATATGGCGCTGTCAATTTGTGTAGCACTATACATATATATTGTACATTCACATCAGTCCCTAACCCTCAAGGGGTGTACAATCTAAGGTCCCTAACTTACATTCCTTATCACACCTACACATACTAGGGCCAAATTTAGACCGGAGCCAATTCACCTACCAGCATGGCTTTGGAGTGTGGGAGGCAGGGGTGCAGACTGACCATTTGGAAACTCAAGCACTGCCCGAGGGCCCGGGGTCAGTAGGGGGCCTCATGAGATGCCCCTGGTACCTTTTTCATAGGCTTTTTTGAGTTTGGGCAAGGACACAGGGGCCCCATGATCCCCTATTGCCCAGGTGCCCCATATGAGTTGTCAGTCCACCCCTTGGTGGGAGAAACCCATGCAGGCACCAGGAGAACATGCAAACACCAGGGAGGTGGTGCCGTGGTTGGGATTTGAGCCAACAGCCCTAGTACTGCCCGGTGGAAGTGCTAACCATTTAGCCACTGTGCAGCCCAAGCTAGGCATTAGGCTTTAACCACTTGCCCTTCAGAGGATTTACCCCCTCCTGACCAGGCCATTTTTTGCGTTACGGCGCTGCGTTACCTAAACTAACAATTACGCGGTGATGCAACGCTGCACCCAAATCAAATTTACATTTTTTTTCACACAAATAGAGCTTTCTTTCCGTGGTATTTGATCGCCTGTGCGTTTTGTATTTTTTGCACTATAAACAAAAAAAGACCGACAATTTTGAGAGAAAAACAATATTTTTGACTTTTTGCTATTAAACATATCCAGTAAAAAAATTTAAAAAATCAAATGTTGTCATAAATTTAGGCCAAAATGTATCCTCCTCCATGTCTTTGCTAAAAAAAAATCCCAATACGTGTAAATTAATTAGTTTACGTGAAAGTTATAGCGTTTACAAATGGCGGTACAGATAAAGGGATTTTTAAATTTTAAATTTTTTTTTACTAGTAATGGCGGCGATTAGCGACTTATAGCGGGACTGCGGCAGACATTCTGACACTGGGGGGGGACTGAATAACTGCCACTGACATCCCCGGTACACCAATACAGCGATCATTCCTAAAAAAAAAAAGAACTGACACTGTACTAATGGCACTGGGCAGGAAGGGGTTAACAATGAGAGGCGATCAAAGGGTTACCTATGTGCTGGGAACAGGGGTGGACTGACCATTTGGAAACTCGGGCACTGCCCGAGGGCCCAGGGTCAGTAGGGGGCCCCATGAGATGCCCCTGGTACCTTTTTCATAGGCTTTTTTGAGTTTGGGCAAGGACACAGGGGCCCCATGATCCCCTATTGCCCGGGGGGCCCCATGAGTTGTCAGTCCGCCCCTGGCTAGGAATGTTTTACTGGGGGGGGGGGGGGTGTGCTTCACTGTAATCACACTGCTGTGGATGACTGTGCCATGCACAGCTATCCAGAGCAGTGTGCCCGAGCTGACAGGGAGGACTGTTAGTAAACAAAACAGTCCTCCTCCCTGTCGGAAATCACCGGGTGCAAGCAAGTTTTTACCGGCTGGGGCCCGGATTGACAGTTGCGGCCGCAAATAGCGGCAAGGGTAGGGCGCGTGTGCGGCTCGCACGCGTCCCCTACTGGAAATGCAAAATCATGTATATATATATACGTGATTTTACACACCCGTGCCACCCTGTAACAGTATTTCTGCTATTGAAAAAAGCCAGTTATTTGTAGACTTTAATATCAATTTATAATCCAAAAGCAAACATTTATTATATTGCAGCTTACCAATTCTTAAATGTGGAGGTTGCATTAGTCTTCTTTTTTCACCTGGAGATGCAGCCAGTAAGTCTGTTGTTTTTTTAGAAGAACTAGCCACAGATGTAGCTAGGGGCGGACCGACAACTCATGGGGCCCCTAGGGGATGGGGCCCCTGTGTCCTCACCCACACTCAAAAAGCCTATGAAAAAAACAATGAAAGGTACCAGGGGCATCTCATGGGGCCCCTTACTGACCCCGGGCCCTCGGGCAGTGCCCGAGTTTCCAAATGGTCAGTCCGCCCTTGGATGTAGCAGTTAGAGGGTTAAGACAAACCATTTACTACTGGCAGCAGTGCTTCCAGTTATTCGTTTTTATTCAGCTGTGTAAGTCCTTTATCCCAAAAGGGAAAAAAAGAAGGTGTGCACATGCTGCATTTCATCACAGCTCAGCGTTCCTAATCACAAGGAGCTGTACAGCACCAGAACATCGACAGTATTGTATTAGCCAGAAAAGCAAAGAGACCAGGGGCGGACTGACTATTTGGAAACTCGGGCACTGCCCGAGGGCCCAGGGTCAGTAGGGGGCCCCTGGAGATGCCCCTGGTACCTTTTTCATAGACTTTTTTGAGTTTGGGCAAGGACACAGGGGCCCCATGATCCCCTATTGCCTGGGGGCCCCACGAGTTGTCAGTCCACCCCTGAAAGAGAGCGTTCTTCCAGCCTGCCAGAACTTCATCACAAACCTTGGGCTTCATGATAGTTATTGTTGGAAAAAACCCCCAAAAAAAAAATGCCATTCTAAATTGCCATTCTGGAATAGTATGACAGACTATGCTGCCGGTCCTGTGGCCAGAAGGAGAGACTGGCGGCCACTAGACCACGCCGAAAGGTTTACCACTGCAACAGTGGTAATAGCCTGCGGTGTGTGCAAAACAACCAACACAAATGTGCGCAGCAAGAATCAAGTTTTACAATAAAAAAAAAACATAGAAATGACATTAACCTGTAATATTTATATGTACATTTATTTATTTCAGGTACTTGTATAGCACTGTCCATTTTATGTAGTGCTTGACCTATATATCGTACATTCACATCAGTCCCCAACAACAATCAAACTCACATTCATACACAAACTAGGACCAATTTAGACAGGAGCCAATTAAACTACCAGCATGTCTTTGGAGTGTGGGAGGAAACCGGAGTACCCGGTGGAACCCCACGCAGCCACAGGGAGAACATGCAAACTCTAGGCAGGTGGTGCCGTGGCTGGGATTTGAACTGCTGATCTGAGGACTGCCAGGCAGAAGTGCTGACCATTTAGCTACTGTGCTGCCCGTATTTATATGTACATATTTGAACCTTTCGATGGAAGGCGGGCCATAGACGGTGCAAATTTCTTTCCTGCAGCCACGTGGCAAGCCATTTTGTTCTCCCGGCAAAGGGGGGGGGGGAGGGGCTGGCTATAACAACCACTAACGATAATCGCATGTAGAATCTGGCAGGTTGGTTGTACCCAAGTTGATCGATCAACTCGCCTACACTCAGCCTTCCCATACATGGTTCGAATCTCATCTATGGCCGGCTTAAAGTGTTACTAAACCCACAACAGTAAAATCAGTCTGTATATGCAGTAAAGCATGCTTGTTATACTCAGGGGTGTATTTACCACAAGGCATTTGCCTACATACCTAAAGGGATTCTGACCAATTCCCAAACAGGAAGCATGGCATGGGGTCAGGACAGCCCTATGAGAGTGCGGGGAACCGGGAGACCAGATATAGTGAATGCGGGGTACATTAAAGGTGGAAAAAGTTCTGAAATTATTTATCTTTGTCTCATTTTTTTACATCAGAGAAACCTGACATTTTAACAGGGGTGTGTAGACTTTCTATATCCACTGTAGATGGATTTTGACTAATAAATTGAAGATAAACTCCTGCTTACACTGAACAATGTTTTTTCTTTTTTTGGCTGTGATAAAGGTTTTAACTAAGTAAAAGCTGACCATTGTAAAGAACCCCTAATTTATGGCAACCCTCTAATTGCCAACTTTGCTTACAGCCTGGTCTGTGAAATGGAGCTAAAAAATACCAGACTTACCGACAGGATCAACAGATAATAAAACTATGTTACAAGGAGACTCCGGAAAACAAGAACTGCTGTGTTATTGCTAATAACGGATCATATATACAGTATGTCATTTTTAGTTTTGCCACTTTATATCTTTTCCCCAGGCAGATATAAAAGACACAAATTATTGAATGTATTAAAAAAAAATTGATCTTTTAAATGCAAGCAGAGTAAGTACCAGGGGCGGACTGACAACTCATGGGGCCCCCAGGCAATAGGGGATCATGGGGCCCCTGTGTCCTTGCCCAAACTCAGAAAAGCCTATGAAAAAGGTACCAGGGGCATCTCATGGGGCCCCCTACTGACCCCGGCCCTCGGGCAGTACCCGAGTTTCCACTTTTGGGGGTGGGGGGACCCCTGTATCATCTGCCCAAATTCTTATGTTTAACACACCCTGTGCCTGTTAAGGGGTACAGGGTGTGAATGGGAATGTATATTGTGTATATGTGTGTTGCCCTTTGTTCCCTGCTCTCCAAAGCACCTCCCAAATCCGCTGCCTGAGCTCCAGGTACTGATCCGTAGACACAGTCCTGGGGTATGTTGCAAGAACAGTCTGCAGCAGCCCTGGGAACTCTGAAGCCAGGTCCAAATCTCCACTGGGGGTGACTGACGTCTACTTTCCTGATCTTTGATCCCGGTGGTGGTTTGGATGTGTTCACAGCTTGGAAGCACAATCCCACCGTTTGCCACCAATGCAACGAAACCGGACCCCAGACTACACTTGTGTATTTTCCATTATACTCCAGCTTCCCCGTCTGAACACAAATCCCCGGCGGACACCACCCGCTGATCGTGCAGGAAATAGACAGCACCAGAGTCTTCTTAAGACAGGAAGTCAACTCCTTTATTTTTACACAAACACAAGATATATACACAGGGCGGGGAAACACAACCAGGAACAGGAAACACATCATCAGCCTGCCCCATCAGTGGGAAGGGCTACAGGAAACATATCATCAGCCCGAACCATCAGTGGGAAAGGGCTACAGCAAACACATCATCAGCCCACCCCATCCAACCAAGACACAGAACAATGGGATGCAGCACATGGCACAGAACAATGGACAGCTGTGTGGCAGGGAACAAAGGACAACACACCAATACACAATATACATTCCCATTCACACCCTGTACACCTTAACAGGCACAGGGTGTGTTAAACATAAGACTTTTGGCAGATGATACAGGGATCCCCCCACCCCCAAAAGTCACTCCCGTCACAGATCTATCCCTCCCCATCTAGGTGGATCATGTCGGAAGGCAGTCGGTGTAAACAACCAATGGAGTCCGTTTATACCTGGCTGTCCATAGAGCAGCCCTTGTATACTCTGTAGAAACTGAGCGGACATGGACCTGTCATCCACCCATAACCGCCATCAACAGACAGATCCCCTGATGATCAAAATGGAGTCCGCCCCATGTGAAAAGGGCCTAACTCATGCAGGGTTAAGCATTACAAACTATCATTTCACATTAATCTTTTTCTTCTTTTTAAGCCTGAAGATTGCAAATACACAAGGACAAAAGAAGATCTGTAACCACAGGGACATGGTCAACCTCTCAACCGTTTACAGTAATGTAACTGAAGGACCCATTATTGATAAGACGACAGAAATTATAAGGGTGACCATCTTAATCCTGATTTTTGCTATCTTTCACAATTTTCTACCACTGGTTGGCCATGATACTCCAAGTCTACCTCACCACTCCGCAACTACGAGAGATGGCCCGTTATGTGCTTTTTTTTCATATGCTTGTCAATGATATGTTGTATCTGCTGATTTCATTTTTTCTGTTTGTCTCTTCCGTTTACCTTTTGTACATGCCAGTACCAGTGTGCTATGCCTTAAGTACATTTACAGCTTCCTCCTTTCGGGTCACGCCTTACAACCTTGCTATTATGTCAGTAGAGCGCTATATAGCAATCTGTTACCCATTAAGACATGGAGAAACGTGCAATGTCCGCTGGTGTAATTATATGATTGTTCTAATGTGGGCTTTGGGGTTAGTCCCCCCATTGGCGTTGACTTTATCGCTATGAATTTCTCTGTCAACAGAGACTTTTACTCACTCTATATGATATGTAACTGGCTATCTTTTTCAAAGAACCAAGCACAAAGCACCATAAGAACTCTAGTCCTCATCCTCAGCTTCTCCATGGTGGCACTCATAATCATGTACACCTATATCAAGGTCATGCTGGCTGCCCTAAAAATAAGTACCAGCAAGTCTTCCGCCTTCAGGGCTGGGAAAACAGTCCTGCTCCACGCATTTCAGCTTTTATTGTGTATGACATCCTTCTCATCCACTTTCACAGACATTTACCTGGGGAAAAACTATGCCTTTGTTCCATCAGTCAATTTCTTCTTCTTTATGTGTCTTCCAAGGTTCATCAGTCCTCTCATTTACGGGATAAGAGATAATGTTTTCCGTAAATACACAAAAAAAACATTTGCACCCCTATTTGTTTGAAGGGACCTTAGCAGAACTCCAGGCAA